GGGGGGAGGGGAGGAGGGAGAAGGAGAGGGGGGAGGGGAGGAGGGAGGCAGGGGAGAGGGGAGGGGAGGAGGGGAGGAGAGCAGGGGAGATCAGCTTTAGCTGATGCTGATTCCAGCCAGCGGCAGCCACACCTCATTTCCTGTTTGTCCTCCTTTTGGGGCCAGCGTCTCCCAGGCCCTGCTCCTCCCTCCGGTGCTCCCCCACAGCAACCCTGAACTCTCCCAGGCTGGCCACCTCCCCTGGGGTCCTGGAGGGAGGTTGTCCTGGCCCCAGGCCCTGCCTGTGCCAGCCACCCATGTCCAGGCCCGGCTGCTGCCCACCCTCACTGCCCCAGCCCAGACCACTGGCTCCCGCCTACTGCAGGAGGACGGAGGAAACTGGTCACCCGGGGGTCACCCGGGCACCAACCAGGCTTCCTGCCTCCGCCAGGCAGGCTTTTCCCGAGGGCAGATGGGAGGTTCACTCCCAGGGCCCCAGCTGGGGATGGGGGTGGGGGCAGGGGCAGGGGTTGAGGTTGGCAGGGTTGGCCATCCTGGTAGGGCCCCCAGGGGCTGCCACAGCTCATGGCAGGGCCGGGCCAGGCTCGGTGTGAACAGGTGGGTGGGTGACCCTCCCCTTCTCCGGGGGCTGATGGCCATCCCCCGCCCCAGCCTGAGCCTGGATGCCTGTCCATGGCTGGTCTAGGAAGAAGGTCTGCTAGAGAGAATTCTGCCTCTGTGGGGAGGGGAGGGGAGAGGAGGGGAGGGGAGAGGAGGGGAGGGGAAGGGAGAGGAGGGGAGGGGAGGGGAGAGGAGTACAGGGGAGGGGAGGGGAGAGGAGAGGGTGCCCGGGTCCCATTCCTGTTGGCACAGTCCCCAGCATGAAGAACAGTCCCGCCCAAATGCCCACACTGGTGAGGCTGACAAACCCTTGTCGATAATTTTGGAAATAGAGTTCTCTCTCTGCTCACACCAGTCATCAGATAAACGCCCCATGGGGCAGACAGCACGAACCAGAGGGAACCCCGCTCCTGGGACGCTCCTCCTCTCTCCCTCCCCACTCAGGGTGTGGATTTCAATGTGTGCAGCCTCCTGGGACCTCAGCAGGGCAGAGGATCATGGGAGGTCCATGGAATCCCCTGACCCAAGGAGTCTCCCTCAGAGGACACTGGGTGATACGTGAAGACGTCTGTGGTTCCAGGAGAGACCACCTGGAAATTCTAACACGCCGGGCGCGGTGGCTTATGCCTGTCGTCCGAGCACTTTGGGAGACAGAGGTGGGTGGATCACAAGGTCAGGAGATTTGAGACTAGCCTGACCAACACAGCAAAACCCTGTCTCCACCAAAATTACAAAAAATTAGCTGGGCGTGGTGGTGCGTGCCTGCAATCCCAGCTACTCAGGAGGCCGAGGCAGGAGAATTGCTTGAACCCGGGAAGCGGAGGTTGCAGTGAGCCAAGATTGTGCCACGGCACTCCAGCCTGGGCGACAGAGCGAGATGCCGTCTCAAAAAAAAAAAATTCTGAGTCGCACCTGAATGGTCCCTTCCACCGAGGAAGTTCCCCCGGCCACGCCCCTCTTAGGATCTGCACCCTGAAAGACCCCCTCAAAAAAACCTAAGGCCTTCTTGGGGAGCAGATGAGTTGGGACCAGAGCACCAGGCTCCTCGTGTTCCTCTGAGAGCCAGCTGGGTGTCTTCTGAGCTCTGCGCCACAGTAACAGAGGAGGAGAGGCAGCCAGGTGACCTGCCTGAGTGCTGACATGGAGTGGGCGAGGCCAGGGACGCTGCTCACACCTGCAGTGCCCAGCACGGCCCCACCCCAGATGACTGAGCTTTGAACGTCCACAGGGCCGATGGGGGAGGACCGCTGGGTGGAACATCCCTTGAGCCGGGGCCATCTTCCTCTCTGAGCTTCCTCAGTTTACCAGATTGCTGCAGGATGGCTCTGGATGGCTCCCACCTACTGGGGCTGTGGGCGGGGCCAGGGCCCGGGGCAGGGCCTGGGGCAGGGCCTGGCTGTGGTGCCTGCTGGAAAGAGAGCCCAGGCACGGGCTAAGCCCTGGTTCAGGTCGGCTCCTCGTGGTCACAGTGAATGTCGAACCCACGTGGGTCCACACAGGGGAATGGACACAGCTCCACACCTGCACGGAGGACAGGGCACACCAGGAGATGCTCCCACTTGCTCTGCCAACTGAGATGAGTCCCTGGAAAAGCCCGTCCCTGTCCTAACCCCAGTACCTGTGAACGGGGAAGTATTTGGAAATCAGCTCTTCGCAGATGTCACCAAGTGAAGATGAGATCACACTGGGGCCACTGATCCAATGACTGGGGTCCATCTAAGAAGAGGCGACTGCAGGCCTGGTGGTGCATGCCTGTCATCCCAGCGCTTTGAAAGGCCAAGGCGAGGATCACTTGAGGCCAGGAATTCAAGTCCAACTTGGGCAACATGGTGAGACCCCATCATCCCTTCTCTACATAATTTTTTTTTTTTGAGATGGAGTTTTGCTCTTGTTGCCTGGGCTGGAGTGCAATGGCAAGATCTCAACTCACTGCCGCCTCCCCCTCCCAGGTTCCAGTGATTCTCCTGCCTCAGCTTCCCTAGTAGATGGGATTACAGGTGTGCACCACCATGCCTGGCTAATTTTTGTATTTAGTAGAGACGGGGTTTCACCATGTTGGTCAGGCTGGTCTCAATCTCCTGACCTCGTGATCCGCCCACCTCGGCCTCCCAAAGTGCTGGGATTACAGGCGTGAGCCACTGCGCCCGGCCAGAGTTTTGCTCTTGTTGCCCAGGCTGGAGTGGAATGGCACGATCTCAGTTCACCTCAACCTCCACCTCTGCTTCCTGTGTTCAAGCAATTCTCCTGCTTCAGCCTCCCAAGTAGCTGGAATTACAGGTGCCCGCCAGTGTGCCCAGCTAATTATTGTATTTTTAGTGGAGATGAGGTTTCACAGGCTTGGCCAGGCTGGTCTCGAACTCCTGACCTCGTGATCCACCCACTTCGGCCTCCCAAAGTGCTGCAGTTTCCGTTGTTTTAAGCCCACTGGTGTGTTGTCTGTTACAGTGGCTGCAGGAAGCTCACACGCCCACACGATCCCCACGTGCACACACACACACACACACACACACACACACACACACTCTTTTCCTCCATGCACTACTTAGTCTGCGCCCTCGTGAGCCAGGCCCGGGCAGGCAGGTCTAGCAGCTCCACCCCAGGCTCCCAGAGCCAAGGTGTGTGTGTGCCTGCGCATGTCTGTCTTCACACGCACACACACGCACCTACGTGCAGGAGAAGAGGGGTGGGGGTACCTGGTTTTGTCTCCCCACTGCCAAGAGTCAAAGCAATGCCAGGTTCTGGGTTCAGGCTGGGAATTCTCCTCCCACTCCCCTGGGGGTGGCTGAGTGCGGGCCTCCCAGCCCCTGCGGCCTGAGAGCTGTGGCCTTGCTGGCAGGGGCCCACCAGCTGCAGGTCCGTGGGGCTCCAGTCTCTCTGAACTCAGGGCCTGGTTGGAGGACGGTGGGATGGGCTGTGGGAAGCTTCTGGAAACCTCTGCAGAAGAGGAGACCACAGGCCGGGCGCGGTGGCTCAAGCCTGTAATCCCAGCACTTTGGGAGGCCGAGGCGGGTGGATCACGAGGTCAAGAGATCGAGACCATCCTGGTCAACATGGTGAAACCCCGTCTCTACTAAAACTACAAAAAATTAGCTGGGCATGGTGGCGCGTGCCTGTAATCCCAGCTACTCAGGAGGCTGAGGCAGGAGAATTGCCTGAACCCAGGAGGCGGAGGTTGCGGTGAGCCGAGATCGCGCCATTGCACTCCAGCCTGGGTAACCAGAGCGAAACTCCGTCTCAAAAAAAAAAAAAAAAAAAAAAAAAAAAAAAAAAAAAGAAAGAAAGAAGAGGAGACCACAGTCCACCCTGCAGGTGAACCCCCACTCCTGTGTGCCCGGGGCCCAGGGCCCGGGGAGGGATTTGAACCAGGATGCTGTGGGAGGCGGGGCTGGCCGCTGAGGAGGAGCGGATTCTGTCTACGCCTGGCGTGGGGCCCCAGCTAAAACGGGACTGTGTTTTACTTCCCGTCCTGGCCACCATCCCCCCCTTGGGCCCTTCCCTCGTTGGTCTCGGTCCCCACCCCCTACTCTGGGTCCTGTCAATCACAAAACCAACTCGGGGAGTCACTGCTCCCCAGGCAGGGGTGGCCCAGGCGAAGGGAGCAGGTGGCGGTGGCCGGACCCCCAGCACTATGAGGGAGTGGCTGGGCCTTGAAGCCTGCTGGGGTGCAGGGCAGAGCGGGCGCCAGCCTCGGGGATCTGCAAGAGGGAAGCATGGCGGGTTCCAGAGCCAGGGCATGACCCAAGGGAGTCGGGGTGTTCTGGGCCCGGGGCGGGAAGCCGGCGGAGTTTCCCTGTGTAGGGCCAGCCGGCAGAACTCGGCTCAGTGCCCCACAGGTCCCCCGAATCCCGCGAGCCTCAGACAGCGCAAGACACGCCAGCCCCGAGCCGCGCTCAGGGCACACTGCCGGGGTTCCGCCCCGAGACCCCCGTGCGCCGCACTGCGCATGCGTGCGCTAGCCGTTTCAGACCCGCCCCCGCAGCCGGAGCGCGCAGCCGTACTGCGCTCCCAGAGAGCGCCCCGCTCCAGGCCCCGCCCACGTCGCGCGTAGGGGGCGAGGCCGGGCGGAGCCTGCGTCGGGGGCGGGGCCAGGGCAAGTCCGGGCCTATAAAGGTGGCGGCGGCGGCGACGCGCCCGGCTCCTCTCGGCGGCGGCGGCCCAGGCGGAGGAGTCCGCTCTGGCGGTGGTGGCGGCGGTGGCGCTGTTCCCCGCGCGGTCCGCGGAGCGGGGTCCGGGCTGCCCGACGTGGGGTGGCGGCGGCACTGCGGCCCCGGCCCGAGCCCGACCGCGGTGAGTGAGAACCCCAAGGCGGCCCCGGGAACTCCGACCCAGTAGCGGGAACGGGCCCCGCGGAGCCCTCGCCGCCCCCGCCCGGTCCGCGCTCCCGGCAGGCCGGGCCCCGCTCACCGCCCTCCCTTTGTCTGCTCCCGCCGGCAGGGTCCCCTCCTCGGCCGCCCCCCGCCCGGCTGCCCGCCCTCGGGCCGCCCCCCGGGCCCTCGGTCCCCTACCCCGCTGGCGGGGCCCGGACAGAAGATGGTGCAGAAGAAACCGGCCGAAGTTCAGGGCTTCCACCGTTCGTTCAAGGTGAGGCCCGGGGTCGGTTTGGGGACGCTCCGGGCCGGACCACCAGAATGGCTGGCGTGGGGGGGCGCGGCGCTCACCCCTAGGACCGGCTCCCAGGGCTCGTGCCCAGCCCCCGCCCTGCACCCGGGGCTGCCCCGGCCGGCCGTGCGCCCAGCGGGGTCGGTGTGCGAGGATGGGGGCGGTCAGCAGGCCGCAGTCCACTCCCCAGCCGTGGCCGTGGGGTCCTTCCTCCAGGACCCCCGAGTGAGGCTGGCAGCGCGCGCCCCCTGGCCGTCAGGGCGTCAGGCTGTGTCCCCTGCAGGCCCCCGCCGCGTGTGTTTTGGGGGTTCAGCGGGCTACAGTCCTGTCCCAGTCGCTGCGTTGGGGGGATGTCTCCTGCAAACTCCAGCTGGTTGTGCCCTGGGGGGGAGGGGTCAGCGGGCCACGGTCTCTTTCCTACCTCCGTGTGGCTTCTGGGGACCTTCCTTCAGAATCCCCAGGCCGGGCGGGTCAGGTGCACCCACTACTGGTGGCCTGTGCCGTGGGGGAAGGGATGGGACGTTCCCCTCAGCCCTGCACTTCCCAGACACCCCAGGCCCGAGTGCTGTTTCCTGTCGGAGCGGGAAGTTTCTGCGCAGCCCGGGCGGGCGGTGACTGCTGTTGAGTGCAGGTCTCAGATGAGCGAATCTTGGGGGGGGGAAGGGGAGGGCAGGTGCTGGGCAGGGGCCCCTCAGGACCTGGCCCAGGGGACGCAGTGATGTCAGCCGGCCCGCCCCACCCCGCAGGCTGGGTTATGTAATGGCTTTGCCGGGCTTCCTTGGGCAGGGGCCTGTTGCCCGGTAGGGAAGGCAGGACTGGAGAGAGAGACAGAGAGAGAGAGAGAGAGACACACACAGAGAGAGAGACACAGAGAGAATGTGTGTGTGTGTGTGTGTGTGTGTACACACGCGTGGTGCTCCAGGGTGGGAGGAGCAAGGAGACACTCTGGAAGAATTCCCAGGCCTGTCCAGCCAGCGTCCCCGGCCACCACCCACCCCTGCACCAGTTTTTCCCTAGGGCAGCAGGCCTGGCACTGTCAGTGTCAGGCTGGGCAGGAGAGGGGACCTGACAGACGTCTTTTCCCTCCTGTGGCCAGGCGTGAGCTGATAACAGGGTCAGTGCCTGGGGCCAGCCAGACAGCCAGATCAAACTTGAACTTTCTAGATGGTTCCAGCCGCCTCCTGCCAAGGCCTGCTGACTCGAGTCCCATAGCCAGACCTAGAGCAGTGGGGCCAGGACCGCCTGCACTGCCCGGGACTGTGGGCTGGCCTCTGCACGGCGTGGGAGCCTGGCGGGGAGCTGGGAAGGTGGGAGGCTGGGCGGAGGAGGGCCTGGCAGGCAGTCCTGGCTGTGAGGTGTTCCTCCAGGTGGCCAGGACCGGTTCTCTAGGAATCTCCTCCCACCACCCCCACCACGCACGGCTGCTCCCTGGATTGGGGCCACCTCTCCTGAAATACTCTCCCTGCCTCTACCAGGCAGCAACCCAGCAGGGAGGCACGGCTGCGGGTGTCTTGGGTTTCTTTCCTTTCTTTGATGGGAAAGTGAGGCTCCGAGGTGGCAGGCCTGGGGTTCCCCTGCACACGGGTGAGGAGGCCTCGGAGTCTCACGCGGCCTGGCCCCTCCGCCATGGTGGCTCTGGCCGTCCATCTGTAGCGCTGCTGAGTTGCAGGCTGTGGCTGACAAGGGGGAATGGTGGGCTCTGCGGCCCCTTGGCTTCTTTCATCCTCTTTAGCTCCCATGAGTTGGGGGCAGCTGCCTCCCGTCTCACCTGTGCTAAACCCCAGGGGGAGGTCACTAGGCCAAGGTTAGACAGCAGGTGAGCGCCAGTCTGGCCTTTGACCCTGGTCACTCACCTTGTGCTGGTGACTGCCCCGGGTGAGGCCACCAGGGGCCTCTGGACAAGAGCCGTAAGGGAATCCTCACTCCCCGTGGGGCTGGTTGGAGCCCCCCTTCCTCCCCTCCTCCCGCACTGGCCTCGTGGCAGCTATCTGCCCTAGCCAGGGTGGGTGGGGAGTCAGGAGGGCTGCTTGGCTCTCGGCTCCTCCCAGACTCTGTCCTCTGGCCTCCACCCGTGTCCTGGCCTTGGGTCTCCCAAGGGCTCCCCAGAGTCTCACTTCTACTGAATGATCCTCCTGTTAGAGCCCCCCTCAGGTTGGCTGGGGCCCAGAGCCCCCAGCTTCCTCACTGGGAGTGCGACCCTCACCACCTCTGCAGGCCCCTCCTGCCTGGTCCACCTGGCCAGGTGAGGCTGAGTGAGAGCTCAGTCATACAAGGAACCTGACCTGGCCTCTGTTCCCCAGCTTCAAAGGCCTGGGCCCTCGTAAAGGGACTGGCAGTCCCCATGCTGGGGTTCGCCTGGCGGACGTGTCCACATGTGTTCCAGCCATCTTCCTTGGGGCGGGGGGTGGGTAGGAAAGGCTCCCCTGACTTCATGGTTCCTTGCCCTGGTCAGGGTCGCCCCCACGGGTCCTCGACTGTGTGGTTTCTTGCCCCAGCCCACCCAGTGCAACAGGCCTGGGTTTGAATCCTGGCCCCTAGGGTCCGAAGTGGGCTCCTTAGTTGGGTGCCAGGGCCCGCCAGGGGCTCCCTCTGTGGGTGGCTGGCGCTGAGACGGGAGAGGGCAGGATGTGGCCTGGGCAGGGCCTGGCACACTCGCGCCTGTGGGTGCCTTTCCTGTGAGCCCCCAGCACGGCGTGGACTGACTCGGTAACTGGTGACTGTTGGGTGGGGTGGCTGGAGGCAGATGAGCCTCGGCTAGGGGGTTAGATGCACAGAGCTGGGTGGGGGAAGGTGTGCCAGGCAGCCGCCGGACACAAGAGAAGTGCAGGGACCTGGGCTTGGGGAGGGGCAGAAGGCAGAGTTGATGGGGCAGAGCCCCTACCTGCAGCCTGCCGCGGGCACTGAGCAAAAGGGAGGGGAGCAGCTTAGGGGAAGGAAAGGCGGTGGTGGTGTGCCGTTTCACATGGGGGAAACTGAGGCCCAGGGAGGACAGCTGCCCCGAGATGGCCCAGGAGGCTGTGGGAAAGCAGGCACCATCACCAGGCTGGCAGTCCTCCCAGTGACTCACCTCCCTCCCACTGCTCCGCCACCTTTGATCCCCATGACCCACCCAGAGGTCAGGCATCCCCTTTCTGTGGACAAGCAGACAGACGTGCAAGACATGGCCTGGGCCCCGCAGCGACTCAACCCTGGCATGGAGGCAGGGTTCCCGAGAGCCATCTGTTTGTGTCTGTCCCCTCCTCAAAATACATCCCTTTCCCAGAGGCCCCGAGGCCCTGGGTTGTGGGCGGGAGGCGGGCTTCCCCATGGCCCTGTGGAGATTGGGGCCCATCTTCCTCTGGGGTGGGGCTGTCCTGGGCACTGCAGGGTGCTGAGCAGCGTTCCTGCCCCATCCCACTTCATGTCAGGAGCTCCCCCAGCCGGTCATAAACACAGCTGTCCCCAGGCATGACCCAGTGTCCCCTGGGGGACAGAATCACCCTCGGGAGACCCCTCCAGGTTAGAGATTCCATGGGCCCCCAAGAGACTGCCTCCCCTGATCAGGCCTTGATGAGATGCTGGGAGGCAGCACTCCTTCCACATGTGGGTCACACCTGTGATCCCAGTACTTTAGGAGGCTGAGGCCAGGGGTTCAAGACCAGCCTGGGCTACATAGCAAGACTTAATCTCTTGCTATGTTGTCAAAACACAAATTTAAAAAAAGAGAGAAGTCTACACACACACTGCTTGCGGGGCAGCGAGGAAGTGAATCCCAGGATCTGGGGCCCCCTTGGTTTACGCCGCCTGCCCTATCAGGAGTTGATCCTGGTATCGTGTGAGCAGGGGACTGAGGTGATTTTTCCGAAATGCTCAGCCCAGGCTTTGTGAGCTGGACGCTGTGGTATTGGTGGAATGGGTCTCCCTTCGGTGGACAGGGATGGATGGGCCTGAGGGCCTCTCCTCTCCTCTCCCCACAGGGCCAGAACCCCTTCGAGCTGGCCTTCTCCCTAGACCAGGCCCACCACGGAGACTCTGACTTTGCCCTGCAGTGCTCAGCCCGCCCTGGTGAGGGGCCCGAGGGGGAGGAGGGCACGGGGCAGCCGCCGTCGCCACCATGGCAGTGGCCCACTCCTGCAGGAGGGTGGGGGCTGGCCGGCCAGGGCCCCGTCCTGAGCCCCCTGGGCGTGCCTCCTGGGACAGACATGCCAGCCAGCCAGCCCATCGACATCCCGGACGCCAAGAAGAGGAGCAAGAAGAAGAAGCGCGGCCGGGCCACCGACAGCTTCTCAGGCAGGTTTGAAGGTGAGCGGGGGCGGTGGGCACTGGGGGAGCGGGGGTGGGGAGCAGGGGCGGTGGGCACTCGGGGAGTGGGGGCGGGGAGCAGCCAGGGTCCCTCTCACGCCCGCCCCACTGCCCCGCAGACGTCTACCAGCTGCAGGAGGATGTGCTGGGGGAGGGCGCACATGCCCGCGTGCAGACCTGCGTCAACCTGATCACCAGCCAGGAGTACGCTGTCAAGGTGGGCCTGCTGTCACACCCTCAGGGCCCGGTGCCCTGGGGTCGGTGCTGTAGGGGGTGGAAGCAGGCTGTGGCATTCCGGCTCTGCATCCTACAGCCGAGAAAACCAGTGTTTAAAAGCGGCCACCGAGCCCTGAGCCCAGTTGGGAATGACAGCACAGGTGACCCCCTGTGCCTCCCCCACCACGTCCAGGTGGCCAAAGACCTGCTACCAGAGTGGGGGCTTCAGTCACCACTGGGTGCCCTGGACAGTCCCTTCCTGAGTCGTCCCTGCGGGTTCATGGCAGTTGTATGACAAGGATCAAAACCCAGTGTCATATCCCAGGGCCCAGAGGAGCTTTGCGTCTGGGGAGCCTCAGTGCAGGCCGGTGAGAGCGCCGGGGCTAGGCTGGCTGCCGAACCCAGGGCGTGGCCGAAGGGGTGGGATTAGGAGCCTGTTGAGGCCCTGGTACTGACCCTGTGACCTTGCGGGCCAGGCGGTTGGATCCCATGTTCCAAGAAATCTTCCAGGCTTCCCTCGTGACTTGGCACCGGGCTTCCGGACTGGGTGGGGTCCCGGGAGGGCTGACTGCCTGGGAAAGAGGGCCAGGTGTGCCCTGGCAAGCATGGCTGGCCAGGGGCCTGTGGGTCCTGGTGGACGGCCAGGCCAGAGCCTTCCTCTGAGGAGGAAGAGGACGGGTGGCCAAGGTGGGGAGGCCACTGGCTGGGCTGGCCGGGTGCTGGGACCACGTGGGCAACAGGTGGGGACAGACGCAGTACAGTCCCTGCTTCCCGGGAGCCCCCAGCAGGCCAGGGCGATGGTGCGGGAGCTCTGGGCCCCTGTGGAACACTTCTGCACGGCAGGTGTCCCTCTGAGCACGGCCCCTTCCAGGTGGCCCCACAGGCAGCCTTGCTTCGTGTCCTTGTTTGACAGATAGGGACACTGAGGCTCAGAGGCTTAGGTAGACTGAGTCATGCTGTGTAGTCTCTGGGGGCTCCTAACTGGTGTCTCAGAGACACCTCCCTGCTCATCTTGCTGCCTTGACCCCATGTGGTCAGCGCTGGGATCTGGAGAGCCTGGGGGACTTCCTGGTGGAGGCGTTGTTGGTCACTGACGTCTGGGAGTTGTTCCAGCCAGGTGGCAGTGGGAGGAGAAGGTGTCCTGGGCGAGTCAGAGAGGCTAACCGCTGGTGCTGTGCATTTGAGGAGTGTTGTTTCATTCTGTGGGGACTGGGGTGTGGGCCCTCTGCCCTCAGTGGGCCAGTGCCTGTCGCTCACAGAGGCTTCCTTGGGGCTGCCTGGTGCCACGAGGCTGCTGGCGGATGCAGATCCCCAAGCTGGGACCTCAGAAGAGGCCCCTTCTCTGCCAGGATGGGCTGTGCTCCCCTTCCTGAAGTCACATTCTAGCCGGCCACCCAACGCGCAGGATGAAGTTCATTGTCTTTTCTTTTTTTTTTTTTTTTTTGAGATGGAGTTTCTCTCTTGTCACCAGGCTGGAGCACAGTGGCAGGATCTCGGCTCACCACAACCTCCACCTCCTGGGTTCAAGCAGTTCTC